GGAGGCTGAGGCAGGAGACTCGCTTGAGCCCAGGAGTTGGAGGTTGCTGTGAGCATGATGCCATGGCACTCTACCCAGGGAGATAGCTTGAGGCTTCATCTCAAAAAAAAAAAAAAAAAAACAACTTTATCAACTCAACTGAAACTCTGAAACCATTAAACACTAATCCCGGATTTTCCCCTGTCTTCCAACTGCTAGCAACCACCATTCCACTTTCTGCTTTATGAAATTCACTATTCTAGGTATCTCATATAACTGGAACCATACAGAACTTGTTCTTTGGGGTCTGGCATGTTTTATTGACCATAATATTTTTAAGATCCATCCATGTTATTTATAGCATGTACTAGAACTTCATTCCTTTAAGAATGAATAGTATTCCATTATATGTATATGCCATATTTTGTTTGTCCATTCATCCATCTGTGCACATATGGGTTGTTTCTACCTTTTGACTACTCTGAATAATGTTGCTGTGAATAGGCTTATGTCTTTTATATTGCAATAGATACACAGTATTTATGCAATTACATAGTGTTACAAAATTCTTTTATGTGCCACTACAGTGCTGAGCACAGTAATGGTTAACAGAAGTTAGAGTCATCTTTCACAAACACAAGGCTAACTGCTGCTGGGAAGGCCTGTGGCTTCCCTTCAGTTAGAGTATGGAATCCTTATCACAATCCATGAAACCCTCTGGGATCTGACCCAACTTCTAACTTTTACTTTCTCTCTTCTCTTGTAGTCACACTGGTCTCGATACTCCTCAAACACCCCAAGCTGACCATTAACTCAGGGCCTTTGCAAATTTGCTGCACCATTGTGTAGAAATTTCTTCCTTTAAACGTTTGCATGGTTCTCTACCTCCCCTCTCAGGAACCAGCCCAGAAGTCCTGCCTCAGAACCACCCTGATCAGCAGATCTGAAATATTAACTAGCACTCCTATCATTTCCACTTATTTGATTTTTCTTCAGAGCAGATATTTTTAGTTTATAGAATGTGAGCTCCACACAAGCATTAATTTTATATTTTTTGTCTTCTATAGTATCCACTGCCTCCTTCAGCCTGTACCTTCAATGCATAATGACATTTTGCTCAATGACAGACCCTATATATGGTGGTGGTTCCATAAGATTATAATATCATACTTTTACTGTATCTTTTCTGTGTTTAGATACATAAATGCTTTTCTTTTTTTTAGAGACAGAGTCTCATTTTGTCACCCTCGGTAGAGTGCTGTGCCATCACAGCTCACAGCAACCTCCAGCTCTTGGTTTTAGGCAATTCTCTTGCCTCAGCCTCCCAAGTAGCAGGGACTACAGGCACCCACCACAATACCCAGCTATCTTTTGTTGCAGTTTAGCTGGGGCCGGGTTCGAACCTGCCGCCCTCGGTATATAGGGCTAGTGCCCTACTCACTGAGCCACAGGAGCTGCCCGACACACAGATACTTTTCATCGTGTTAACAATTGCCCTCAGCACAGAAGCATGCTGCCCAGTTTTGTAGCCTAGAAGAAATAGGCTGTATATCATAGAGCCTAGATATAGTAGGCTACACCATCTAGGTTTGTATAAGAACATCCTATGATGGCCTCTATGAGGAATCATCTTACCATGCATTTCTCTGATGTTATTACCATGATGTTATAGTGAATCAAAAAACTGGTGCTCCTTCCAAGGCAAAAGAATTTGCAAAAATGATGCCCCTCTCCCTGAGCTCAAGCACCTAGAGCAGAGCCAGGCACATTTATTTCAGTTTATATTCCTGCCCAACCACACAAATCTAAGCTGTGGCCCTGTTCAGCCCAGGCACACAGTAGGTACTCAATAACTACTAAGTTATTGTACAGTGTGGTACTGTATAGTGATTGAGGTCAAGTAAGGGAGGTTAAATATTCAGCATCTCTCTCCTTCCCATCTCTC